AAAGAAGTCTCTTCTGCTCACCAAGGCTGCATTTATTTTATCAAAAATGCTGTGAAAACTGTAAAAATGTGAAATATTACTACAATTTAAAATAACTGTTTTCTATGTGAATATATTGTAAAATGTAATTTATTTCTGTGATGCGCAGCTGTATTTTCAGCATCATTACTCCAGTCTTCAGTGTCACATGATCTTCAGAAATCATTCTAATATTCTGATTTGCTGCTCAAGAAACATTTCTGATTATTATCAATGTTGAAAAATCTGTGAATCCTGAGAAATAAAATGTATCACAGTTTACACAAAAAAATATTGGGCAGCACAACTGTTTTCAACATTGATAATAATCAGAAATGTTTCTTGAGCAGCAAATCAGAATATTAGAATGATTTCTGAAGATCATGTGACACTGAAGACTGGAGTAATGATGCTGAAAATACAGCTGCGCATCACAGAAATAAATTACATTTTACTATATATTCACATAGAAAACAGCTATTTTAAATTGTAATAATATTCCACATTTTTTACTGTTTTTACTGTATTTTTAATCAAATAAATGCAGCCTTGGTGAGCAGAAGAGATAACTTCGAGAAGTTAGCTGACTATGTAGGCAGCTCACTAGGATTTAGAACAGAATTCTGTGTTTGCGCTCATTTATGTGTATCCACGCTTTAATTATGTGTGAGAAAAACTAATTAACAAACAGCAAAATCCTGTGAAACAACATCCAAGTATGAACATTATCAAACCCATCTGAAGGAGATCAGACTGGATTTCTATTTCTGGCTCAGATTGTGTGTGAGACGCCTGTAGATTCTGCATGTAAATGCGTTTGTGGTGAAGAAAACACTCTGATCACACACTCTGACAGGTGAGAGTGTGTGTGTGTGTGTGTGTGTGTGTGTGTGTGTGTGGTCTCTAGAAAAGCACAATTACATAAGGGGATATTTCCCAGCTCGATAATGAATATGCCGCCTGTTGCTTAGCAACAAGCATCTGATTCATGCACACTATAGGAGAGTGACACGCAGTTTGAATGAGGAAGATGCATGTATGAAAACAGAGAAAGTGAGAGGAGATGGACAAATCGAGAGCTTCAGTTAACGGATCGGCCAGCTGTAAATCACTGCAAAAGGAATATATGCTCTAAAAATGACAAAATCCTGTATTAAATGGACAGTTCACCCCAAAAAAAAAAAGAACATTCTGTCATCATTTACTGACCCTCATTTCATTACAATTCTGTTCGACTTTCTTACTTCTGTGGAACACAAAAGCAGTTATAGCAACCAGGAGCAGACATGACGGGGACAGAATGTCAAGTTTAACACCAGTTTGTTCTATTATATTATATTCTATTGTCCATGGTTCAGGAAAGAAATAAAGTAACTCAAACCACACTATTACAGAGAGACTACAGAGAGTCTAATTTGTGTTTCGATCCTGAATTAATCTGTTTTTAAACAAGTCTTTCAATGATTCAATGATCCAGTTCTAAAGACAGTCGCTTGATTCGTTTCAAAATGAATCAGTCGTTTTGAATGAATCGTTTGAATGAATGAATCGTTTGAATTAATTACTTAAGGCAGGGACTTGCTGCCACCTACTGGTGGTTTTAGTGTCATATTTATTTCTTCACGACTGGACTAAAACCAGCACAAAAACACACTCTGCAAAATATTGTTTAATTATCATTATCAAAAATCCCCAAAATACAGATATATGATATTGCACACCACTAGTTGCATGTCATTTATGCACGAGTGGCTTTTTTATTTATTTCTCAAGCTCTTTATAACATATTCTTCATGCTTTCTGGCTAGTTTGCTCAAAAACAACAAAATATCAACACAAGCTATCATATCTCAACATTAATAATCTCCATTCTTTATTTTGATTTGAAGGGCTTTGATAACATATCTGTGAAAATGAACTTTTCAGATAAATTGCTGTGTTTGAGATTACGGTTTAGTTAGTTGAGCCAGATGACTCAACAACTTTTAAACAAAAAATATAAAACTAGTATTTGATCATGTCTAAATACACATTCAAATGCAAAACCTAATAAAAGTATGTAATTCTGTCTAAAAACACTTTTCTCAGCAACCAGGGATTGCGCATTTACTCTATTTTCATTTTAAATACTGCATTAATTAAAAAATAATAATGTTTTTTTTTCTGATATTTTGTTATACAGAAATAAATGATGTATAATTTAGAGGCAAATATTGTTTTCAAAAATACAATGAAAATATATACACACATTTGTGTGGGTAGCTGCTATTTTAATTGCCACCAAAGCTTGCTAATTATTTATCAAGAGAAACAGGAGTTTAGAGTTTAAACAACATGAAGGTAAGTTACAATTTCAGAATGATTATTTTTGGGTGAACTATTACTTTAAGAACAGTAGAAGTGTGGATGTAAATGGGTGAAAAAATGTACGGCTCATATATAACCTCGAAATTAATAGAAATATTTAAAATAGTAGCTTTATTTTACATAAATAAAATGAACCACTAAACACAAATATATTACAAAATGTATTGGGGATTTTTGGGGAAGCAAATGCAAAAGAAAATTTTATAAATATTTCAAATATAAACATATATATGCCAATAATCTATATTGCATAATACATATATATATGCCAATCATCTATATTGCAATAAAGCGTTATGTTTAGATGTCTGGTTCAGCATGAAATAAACTCATCTATTGTATTTGACGTCACAGTTCAGGACAGTCACAGATGAATCACGCTCAATCAGAGCAGGAACATGTATTAAGAAAATAAGCCTATATTGATTTGACATTGATCTTAAATCAGCAAGTTCAATCAGAGCCGTGTGTTTGAGTGGAAACAGGCTGCTGAGGTCGAGAACGGGAGAAAAGGGCTTCCTGAAACGTCTGGCAGAATGAACACAACTATGTTTGACAGGCCTGTAATGAAAGCAACAGCTGTGGTGTGTGTGTGTGTGTGTGTGTGGGCAGACTACACAATGGCAGTGAAAACTCAGCCTATTCCTGACCACTGGCTCCATGTCAAACACGGGGAAAAGACGCAAGCGAAGCTCTCGTATGTCTCTGCTAACAGAACAGACAGCTATGCTCCTGTCAAACCAACAGCATTCACACAGATACAGGTGTAAATGTACAATGTTTAAAAATCACTCATTAGCCTTCAATTGTTTAGACAGTAGAGGTGCGCAATATTGACAAAAAATGATATCTCGATATTTTCTGTGACAATATTTTGCTGACTGTGTTTTTGTGCTGGTACTTTGGCTGGTTTAGGCCTGTCTTGGATAAATAAATACGACACTAAAACCACCACGGCAGGTCATTGATTCATTGAATCATTCATTTAAACGATTCATTCAAAACGGCCGATTCGTTTAGAAACGAAGCAAGCAACTGTTTTTATGAATGGATCACTGAATCACTGACTCAAATGATTCGTTCAAAAACAGATTCTTTCAGGATCGAAAGTTCAAAACACAAATGAGACTCTTTGCTTGAAACTATTTTTGTTGGCGAAACAAAAAAAACAGACAATATTGTGTATTTTATATATATATATATATTTTTTTTTTTTTTTTTTTTTTT